GTGCGAGCATCGACTAACAACATTATTTTAATGCCATACTTTGCTGGTTTCTGAGGCATTTCATCGATGCAAAGATATGGTCCGGGTGTATATTGAAATTGACCGTTTAGGACAAATTTGTTGAAGAAATTTGAAATTGGTGCAAGTTGATCTTCTTTGAGATGCTCCGCCCTGGTAGTTGAATCGTCAAACCTAAGGCAGTTTACCAAAGAAGAAAAACGAAAATTGGACATCCCACAACGAAATATTTCACGGCCACTGCCATCGGTTGCGAATATTGTGCGAAGATCTGCGTCATTACATTTAAAAACTGAAGTTTAGTACTGTAGGCCAATGAATGCTTTCATTTCCGTTACATATGTATCCATAAGTTCCACCTTTGTAGTATTATTAAATTTAGCTCGGTAATTACAGAGTTTTTGATTAGTATATTGTACTAAACATTCCAACATGGAYTCGTCAAAAATTTTGGACCAAAGCTGTAAATATCCWTCAAAGGTAGAAGTTTGCAGGCGACCTGGTAATCTAAYGATGTTATGGGATGCTGTTCTAGATGTTTTTGGTCGCTCTCTTGCACTCCACATAAATCCTTTCTTACCTTTGTAGTAGTCGCTTGTTGGGTGTTGATTCACTTCTTCACAAATATTTTGTGTCTCAGAGGTAGTCGCATGTTGTTCTTCATTGTCTTCATCATTATCTAAAAGTGCCGTTTCTGGTTGAAAATTGGGGTCATTGCATTCATCATCCATATCGCTGAACTCATGCTCACTCTCTTTCTCCAGCCACTGTAGTATTAGCTCATTTCGGTTTTTAAAAGTTCCAGATGAGGTTYTCTTAGAACAATGTGGATCTTGCGATATGTTTGAATGCTCCATAATAACAAAACTAAAAAATAACTATTTCACTGACGTGTTGTTTAGGAGACACCATGAAAATATGACAAAAATACTGATGTGATTGTCTCACAGACACCTACCTTACCGTAGATATGGTTGACTCGCAGACACTTTTTCGCTTAAAATGGCACGTGTGCTTACATCAATCTATCTGAACAAACTAACATAGGCATGAGTACACAATAAGAAGGTACAGAGAACGAGAGAGTAGATGTATGGAAAATAACGGTAGAAAATACTCTTTTGTGTCTGTTGGTGTCTGCTAGACTACCACATCAGTCACAAAGGGTTAACACTGTTTCAAACTCAAGAATGCTGGTGGGGAGCTTCTACAGAGCATTAATATTGACAAATACATACATGTATAAATAAACAATATTCACTTGAAGAAACACTTCAATTTTTATGCATTATGAAATTAGATACTTAATTAAATATAGCGTATACATTAAGATTAAGATGAGGAATGCAGCGCGACCTTATGTCTATCTCCTAACTCACAAAGACTTACTTAGCCCCAACACACCGATGAAGTCCAGTAGCCTACCGGGTGCTAGTTGTTGTTGTTTTAACGGTTATCAGTCCTAGCTAGGATGGTGAGGGTTATCAGTGTTGTCGTCGATGTCATCTAACGGGAGGCCCAGGAAACGTGCCGATTCGATGGGGTCGGACCAAAAGGAAAAGGGCGTTAGATGGGTGGGGTTGGTTGGGGTTGGTTGGGCATGCAAAGAGGTGGTCAGTGTCATGCGGAGACTCATTGCATGCAGGACATACGTTCTGGATAAGTAGGAGTTTAACCTGCAACAATATCCAGAACGAAGTTGCGCAAGGGTCACTCGCGTTTCTCGCGGCAACTCGAGCTCTTCGTCTGTTATGGATGGTGATTTGACTCCAAGTACGCCATTCACGGGGAGGGAATCGGTGAAGGTGTTGATGGCTCCACTGTGAATGGCGGTCAGTGCCTGTCGGAAGTCTGTTGCGTCCGAGGTCCTGTCGGAAGTCTGTTGCGTCCGAGGTCCTGTCGGCATATTGTTCGATGTCGTCGACGTGATCAAGGCATGACCTCTTGATGCTCCTAGGAGGCGGTTCCGCTCCAAGCAGATGACTGCAAGGATGATTTCTACGAAAACGTCCTAGCAGGAACTGCTTGGAGAGGAGTTCATGATGCTCCTTAACTGGGAGCATAAGCGTCTCACTATGTAGGGGATGGGAGACATCAAGAGGCATCCCGTCGTGGTCCGGAGTGCTGTATTCTGGCAGGTCTGTAGTTTCCTCATCTGCGTGCCACTGCATCCAGGCGACCATATGGGTGCTGCATAGTTAAGGACCGGCCAGCCGATTGCCTTGTAAGTTGCCAACAACGTTCCTTTGTGTTTTCCCCATGTGCTGCCGGCTAGCGACTTGAGGATTTTGTTGCGGCTCTGTACTTTGGCGRTAATCGCGGTCGTATGTGGAGAGAAGGAGCATAGACTGTAGAAAGTGGCACCTAAAATATTAGGGTTATTGACAGTCGGAATTTTTACGCGGTCGACTGCAATATTAAGATCCAGTCTATACTAGTTCGTCCAGTTCGTGAATATGGTCGCTGTGGAGGTTCCGGGCAGTGAGAAAAAGAGAAAGGTCGGAGAGGTAGTTGTTTACCTTCGAACACATGCTATCGATTCCATGGTGCTAGTAAGGCGATGCGGTCCCTAACCGGAAAGATTGATCCAATCGCCTTGATCCTGCATCTGCAGTCGATCAGCAGGTGTTTCGGATTTCAGGCTAACTGTCGCGGAACCGGCAGTTAGCGCTGGAGGATAGGCCCATGTTACATAGGTGCCTATTCAGCTTGCAATGGCCAGTGTACCATGTGATCAGCAGCCTGAGTTTGTTACAACAATTGCAATTACAACTTTAGACCTACTTAGGTTATATCCTCCTATGAGCAACTTGGCATGAGTCATACCGTGTGTTTGTTGCTAATGCTCCTTCCTGTCTACACTTTCCTTACGGAGGAGCTCCTTTATGGTATGGTTACCTACCTCAGTAAAGGGTTCGGGCCCTACCACATTGGGGGAGGCTGCAGAGCGAGCGAGCTCGTCCGCCAGTTCATTACCTGCTATCCCTTTGTGGCCAGGCACCCAGTTTAGGTGTACCTGGTTTCGTTCCGCAAGGCTATTCAGACTTTCCCTGCATTCTTGCACTAGTAGCGATTTGATCTCGTAAGAGGAGATCGCTTTCAGTGCTGCTGTTGACTATCGCTGAGAATGGCTATTCGCTCTTTGCGATAGTTGCGATGGAGATTTATTTCTGTACACCGATTTATGGCGAACACTTCTGCCTGGAAGATGCTCGCGAACACTCCCATGGGTATTGGGAGCTTTGTGCGTGGGCCCACGATCTCCGCAGTTCGCAGTTCCTCAACAGCAGTTCGAGATTGGAGTCATTCCATTCATCCTTGCTGCCGAGGGTTACCTTGAACTTCTCCTCAAAGTTGATTATTTTGGTAGTACTGTCCTTCTGGAGAAGGCCTATTGGTATATTGTCACTTATCTTTTCCATCCTCTGGGATGAGATTACCTTGGCTTTGCCACACCTCTCTGCCGATGTTTATAGGAGGGTGTGCTTGGCTACCTGGCCTATAACCAAATGAAGCGGAGTAAGTTCTAACAGAACCTCCAGTGCTGCCGTTGAACATGCGAGCATTGCACCCATCATACACAGGCCAGTCGCTGCAGCTTCGATAGCTTGGTCTTTACCGAAGGGGATGAGATTACCTTGGCTTTGCCAGACTTCTCTGCCGWTATTTGCAGGAGGGTGTGCTTGGCTACCTGGCCTATAACCAAATGAAGCGGTGTAAGTTCTAACAGAAGTCGCTGCAGCTTCGATAGCTTGGTCTTTACCGAAGTCTGCGACGCTWTTGAAGCCCAGGCCACCGCCCCGTACGTGATTATTGGTCGCACTATCATGGTGTACAACCACCTATCAATCCTTGGCTTACAGCCCCAGGACTTGCCCGCCAGCCGATTGATAACCATTAAAGCTTTTGTTGTTTTGACCGGGGTCTGGTTTACATGCTGCTTCCACCGCAAGGTGGAGTCTAACATGAACCGAGGTATTTGACCTTATTGGATATCTCTATCTCTCTGCCACTAAGTGTGAGATTCCTGAGGCTGGGTAGTGACCTGCGTCTCGTAAACGGGACTATGGTCATCTTGGAGGGGTTSACACTTTGTTCAACCTCCCTGCACCACCTCTTTGCCAGGTTTAGACCCCTTTGTATCAGGTCACAGAGAGTGTCCTCATATTTACCTCTAGCTATAATTACAATGTCGTCCGCATACCCTTGGCAACGGATCCCGTCCTCTAACCTTCCAGCTTTGSGGAGAACTCCCGCAGCCAGTTGGCGGACGTCTCGTCCTTGCAGTCTACTTACAGCATATCTCCTTTAAACTCCACCCCCAGGAAGGAAGCCGCGTATTCATCTCCTCTAATAACCTCCTCCATGAGGAGGTCCTGGAGCACGGTAAGCTCCTCCGACTTGAACGAGTCCGTCGGGTGGTCTCGAGGCAGTACAGCCATACGGATGCCTTTGATAGCGGTAGTAGGCCGCGGTAGTAGGCACTTTCTACAGGCTAGTACCCCTGCATGAAGGCATGTCGTCGTCGTCTTCCCTAGCATGCTCCTCAAATAGCGCCCGCTCCTCAGGCGAGAGAACGTCAAGGTAGCTAAACTTGCGCTTGGCTCCTTGACCCATGCGAGAGCTTTGTGTTCAAAAAGGCATTAGTTACCATTTAACAGTTCCGCATACCCCGCAATTAAATGGTGTGTCTGAAAGGATGATAAGATCTATAACCGAAAAGGCTCGTGCCTTGGTTATATGGGCGAAGTTACCGAAGTACTTCTGGGGCGAAGCTGTATTAACAGCTACATATTTAATTAGTAGAAGCTCAAGTAATGCATTGAGAGAATGCAAGAAGACACCATATGAAATGTGGCATAATAAAAAGCCAAGCCTTAAATAATTGAAAGTTTTTGGTTCAACGGTATACGTTCATAAGAAAATAAGGAAAAGGAAATTTGATGAAAAATCATGGAAAGGWATACTGGTTGGATATGAACCAAATGGTTATAAGGTGTGAGATGCGGAAACTGGAAAGTTTGCGATTGCGAGAGATGTTATTGTCGATGGAGCAAATATGGTGAATTCTAGAGCTGTGGTTGATGTGAATAATGTTGAAATTCATAAAGAAATTGTAGACGTGATAAAAGACGTGCTTGATACTAGTAATGAGGATGTCCAATTAGCAATGGATAATTCAAGTATCTGTCCGAATAAAAGTACGGAGATGGAATATGATAAACAATCAGATAAATAGCCTAGTAGTATGGTAACAGAAAAAGTGAATGCCGATCCAGTTTTAGCTGGTGATGCTATATGTAATGACATAGGCGAACAAAGTAACTCAAGCTCACTGACAGATATTGGAAAAAGTGATAGGCTAAGGGATAAACCAAAAATCTCATACAAAGATATTATAGAAAATTGTATAATGAATGCTCAGTCTTCTATAGATAGTACTCCGAATTCATTTGAAGAGATAAAATCCAGGAGTGATAAGATACATTGGGAAGAGGCAGTTAAGGATGAACTGGATTCACTTAATAAAACTTCACTTAATAATCTCTAGTTTCAGGCTTATAATGTCTTTTGCGAACTAGTATGGTTTGAGAGTACATCACATGGACGTCAAAACTGCATTTTTGAACGGAGTACTGAAGGAAGAAATATACATGAGAGCTCCGCAAGGGGTAGTTTGTGGGATTAATCAGGTTTGTAAATTCAATAAAGCACTTTATGGTCTCAAGCAGGCAGCTCGATGTTGGTTTGATATTTGAACACGCATTAAAAGAAATTAGCTTTGTGAATTCTTCTGTAGATAGGTGCATTTATATATTAGATAAAGGTGATATTACAAAGAATATATATGTTTTATTGTATGTGGATGACTTAGTTATATCAATAGAAAATGTTCATACTATGAATAACTTGAAATCTTATTTGATGCGTAAATTCAGAATGACAGATTTATTAGAAATTAAATATTTTGTGGGAATAAAAGTTGATAGAGACGATGGTTGGATAAGTCTAAGTCAATCAGCATACGTAAAAAATGTTTTAAATAGATTTGGCATGGATGGGTGTAATCCTGTGAATTCACCACTTCCAAGTAAGCTAAATCACGAAGCGTTGAATTCAGATGATAAATACGATGCACCATGTCGTAGTTTAATGGGATATTTAATGTACATAATGC